ATGGGAAGATTTCATTTTTTGTGGCCGAATAATATTCCATTGTAAATATATATACCACATTTAAAAAAAAATCCATTCATCTATTGATGGGCACTTGGGCTGCTTCCATAATTTGACTATTGTAAATGCTGCTGCAGTAAACACAGACAGGGGTGCATGTGTCCTTTTGAGTTAATGTTTTTTGTATTTTTTGGGCAAATACCTAGTAGTCCAATTACCAAATCATAGGGTAGCTCTATTTTTACCTGTTTTGAGGAACCTTCAAAATGCACCACTGCATTCCCACCAACAGTGCATGAGCGTTCCTTTTTCTCCACATCCTCGCCAACACTTGCTGTTTCTTGTGTTTTTTATTTTAGTCACTCTGACAGGCATGAGGTGACATCTCATTGTAGTTTTAATTTGCATTCCACTGATGATGAGAGATGTTGAGCATGTGTCTGTTGGCCATCTGTACGTTTTCTTTGGAGAAATGTCTGTTTATGTCTTCTGCTCACCTTTTAATTGGATTATTTGTTTTTTGCATGTTGAGTTGTATCTAAATAGTATTTGAACAAAGGACCCCACATTCTTATTTTGCCCTGGACTCTGCAAATTATGCAGTCATTCCTGACTGAGATTTAGATGTATATGATGGTATGATTTTTGTATCCAATCAAAACAGAATAAAATCATTCAGATACTAGTTTATTATTCAATATCTACCTACTCAACAAATATTCTTGAATACATAATATGTTAAGTACTCTGATATGTGCCTATCACAGTATAGATGATATGATGGCAAAAAGGAGGCTATTGTCTGTCCTTAAAAAGCTTCACCTACTAGCTGAGGAACAGAGACAAGAAGAAAGGATATTACGATAAAGTATTATAAGTGCCATGAGAGCCGAGAGCCAAGTGCCGGCTACTATGGGAGTATAGAGCAGAATTATCTAAATATAAGATCTCCTTATAAAGAATTTCCACATTTTAATACTGATGGTCAAAGTGTGTTCTTTTTTTTTTTTTTCCTTTTCTTCAAAAATGACGTGCAGGGCATCTGTTTCAGTACATTAGTAGTACATGTCTGCTACAAGCTGCATTGTTAGGGTGTGTGTTATTTCAGCACGGGAGCTCTTCACAGGCTTCTAAGAAAATGGAAAAGGAAGGCAAATTGTTCTCTCCTTGCAAACTTAATGCTGGTGGGTCTTCCTTTTCAAGGAAAATGCAATGATAAGCAACTTTTAATAAATTATTTTGAAAACACTTCTCCCAAAGTTAAGAGACACATAAGCCCTTATCAAACCTGCTGCTAAAGAGGACATGATTAATTCATCTTGTTCTCGGTGGCTCTAATTGTTTAGTTAATCCTTTCTCCATCTCTTCTGCCCAGTGCCCACACTAGGAGGCCCATATAAGAAACAGTGGTAACCCAAAGTGAAACAATGCCGTAACTGACATCCCAATTGTCCTGTGCGGGATGGTGGACTTGTTTAGTAATAAATGATATGAAAAGGTCTTTTATTGACAAGCTGCCATGTGCTGTTTGCACTAGCGGATATGAGAAGATGCTGGCTGTTTCCCCTTCGTCCCCATGGTATTCAGCTCAGTGAGATAGCAGAAAATGCTTCAGTTTACTTAAAGCATTGATAACACCTCTAAATAATTAACTGAGGACTTCCTGTCTTCAATTACTTAATGCTTTTTTTAACATCTTGAGAGGATTATAAGCAATTTATGGATTTCACATGATGAGTGCATTTGCCACTATTCCCACAAAGCATTTACGGGATCATGTTTCTAAAGCTTTGAGGTAATTAAAAATAAGCATGGAGACAATGGGGCTGAGGCAAGGTGCTCATGTTCCCTTCTGTCATTTCTAAGGACCTCGATTTTCAGGCTCCAGGATGACTAGTGCTACAGCTTCATTAGCATTTGACTGTTAACTTAGGGAATGCCAAGGTTTTGGAAATGATGTGAAAATCAAAACATTTATCCCAGAGGGTATAGACAGTTCTTTGATCAAACATTTGAGATGCAATGTAAAATAAATTTGGTTGTTTTTGTTCATTCCATGAACTCAATAAAACAGTCATTCATATCATAAAATACTTCTATAGAGAATTTGGTCAGTCAGAGAACTATGGAAATGAAGTTTTCCTGGCAGATCAGGTATGTATGTGAACATTATATAGATCTCAGGTTTTAGATGAGCTGATGCTTAGCCCCGTTGCATCCGGTAGGAACTGCATATGGGAGATTCTACTTGGTGAGGTTTTGCTGAATGAGAGTTTACTTCTTCATGCAACAAAGATATTTCTCTTTAGGGCTGTCTTGCCCAAGTGAAGTACTATCTAAATCTATTTAAAATGGTACAGAGGGATGAGCCAAATGAATTCTAAAGGCATCTTTTCATTTTATGATCTTATAAAAAGTAAAAGCATATAGAAAAACTTTAAAATATTTATCCTAATAAAAGAGAACTCCTGGCATCAAGTGATGAGTGTGAAATCCTCTCTGACATGAAAATATTCATTAAAAATGACAATGAGAGGAAGAAAGGGGGGAATAAAGGTATTTTAAAGAAAAAATCTTTCCAATTATTTTATAATTAATGAGGCTATCAATCTTGTTGGTTTGAACATTACATTTGAATTTAGTCTGTTGTCATGTAAATGCCAGTTTTAAAAAAATGTAACAAGAACAGCTCACACAGTTCAAAGCCCATGTTGGCCAAGTAGACAGATACTGTAAGGAGAACATTCCATATCACGGTATCCCAGTTTTTTGTGAAACCTTTACTGATAGAAAATCTAAATGTGCCTTAACTTGGCTTTCAAAACTCTGCAATTGACATTCCATTTTCCACTCCAAGTCATTCTTTTGATTGCCGCGCCCCCACTGCATTCTTTAGAGTTCTGCTGTGGCATCAGTTACACTGTATTTGCAATTAGTTCTTAACTTGTCAGTATTTCCTAGCACTGGGAGTTTCTTGAGAGCAACAATCTTGTTTTAGAGCACTTAGTGTACTCTCTAGGACATAGCAAGCAGGCAACATTGTTTTGTTTTGTTTTTTTTGAATGAAACAGTATTCTGATGCCTTGGGCACCTGAGCATGTCACTTTCCTTCTTCATCTTTTAAATGCGGATATTAAAAACATCCCTCTAGAGGGGAGGGGGGTGGGAGGATGGGTTGGACTGGTGGTGGGTATTGAGGAGGGCACGTTCTGCATGGAGCACTGGCTGTTATGCACGAACAATGAATCATGGAACACTTCATCTAGAACTAATGATGTAATGTATGGGGATTAACATAAGAATAAAAACAAAACAAAACAAAACAAAAACAAACAAACAAACAAACAAAAAACATCCCTCACTTCTAGGGATGTGATGAGAACCAAACATGTCCAAATGCAAATACTTCTTTAAAATTATAGCACAATATAAATGTAAAGACTTATTATGTAAAACAACAGCATTTCAACTATTTTGATCATTTTCACTGGCAGTGAAATAAGAGCTAAGAAATAAATTTTTATAATCTGAATTGATGAGGGCTTTTTCCATCTCCATTATCATTGATTTAGCTCAGGATCTTCAGATACGGAATGCAATGTGCTGGTCTGCAAATATTTATGAAGCACTTTCTGCAGGCTTCAGGCACTTCCTGAAAACAGTGGACATCTGTCAATGAATGCCTGCCTGTGTGTCAGGGAATCGTAGAATTAAGAACAAATCACGACGGATTGATTTTTCCACCTGTATAGTGTAACCTGTGCCTCCTCTGAGGAAAACTCGGGCACACTCTTCCAGGCTTTTCTGTACTTCTTTACAAGTTTCCTAATCTCTAGTATCAATGCTCCCTGCAAACGATGGGGTTCAATGGAAGAAGAACATTCACTCAGGAGGCCTTGGAAGGAAGCTGCTGACCACGGGGGAAAAGTAAGTTTGTAACCTCTTGCCTGTGGCCTCAGAATCTAAACTTACACAACTGTTTGGGATGATTCAGTAGATCTGAGTAATGAACTAAGTTACTTAATATCTCAAAGTATTCTTTTCTGTAAAATGCGAGTAATAACTCTCTTTACCGCATAGGTTTGTGAAGAGAATCAAGTGAGATAGTACATGTCAGGTGGCAACAGTGAAATCCACTTATTCTCCAAACATTCGTGTAGCATCTGTGGATGTGTCAAGGATTGTTCTAGGCGCTGGAAGTACTGTATTGAACTAGGTACTGAAGGTCTCTGCAATGCTAGAGCTTACATCCCAGTGGGGGGAGACATAAAAAACAAACACTATCAGGCAGTGAGAGGTCCATGATGAAAATAAGACAAGGTGATACCGTGGTGTATCAAAGAAGCTTCCTTAGAGTGGGGAAGTCAGAAAATGCTTCTCTTCAGAAGTGACATTCAAACCAAAACATGTTAATTATTATTATAATCACTTCTAGTAATTATCTGACTTTATACTATTATACTGTACTATTATTATTTTCTTAAAGTTAATTATAATAAATGTTATAACAAGCCATAAAAATAATAGTCACTATTAATTAACGTTAATAATAACAAACTGTCACAAACCGTCACCTGTCAACTATTCTGTGTATTAGTTACCCACTCAGTAGATAAATGTTAGCCTCTGGCTGATCTCTCCCTGACTTCCAGTACATTCTTGGCTATCCTCATCCCATTATCTATGAGTATATCCTTGGGGAATGAAAATGCATCTTACCGTTTGTCTGAGGAAAAAAAAAAGTTAATACTGATGCAAAAACCCTACACATAATGCATATCAAAGCCAAATATAAATTATTTCTGAAGTTATCTGCTGTTGTGGCTTATTGCTGCCAGTGTGGGCTCTTCTATTAGCATGGATAAGTGGGACCTGACCATATGTCAAGAGAACACGTCCTTTCAAAGTGACCTCATATATCAAATGCACACCCCTGGGATGCTTTGCCCCCCTAACCACAATGACAGACTCTTCCGGTAGGTTTTCCTCTTTTTTTTCACCTGTGACCGTATGCTGCCTCCTGTCAGTGGTGCCAGTGTAGATGAGACCTTTCCCAACCTGCCGGAGCTGGTACTCTTTAATGACGCCGTTTGGTTTCTCAGGGACGCTCCAGCTCAAATGCAGAGCTTCTGCGCTGGGTGCCGTGACTCTGGGCGGCAGGATGCTCTCCGGAACTCCTTGGGTCGTAGATGCAACTACCTGCAAACACAGGAATTAAACAGCAATTTATGGTAATAGGACACTAGGTATTCTGATCAACGAGAATGTCACTTTTGTTTTAAAATGTTGTTGTCTGGCCTGGCATATCATTAGCAGGGGCTTGGAGAAACAGTCCGCCCCCCCCCCTTTATTTTTTATTCTTTTCCTCCCATCCTATTTAAACAATGAAATCTGACCTTGAATACATTACATAAGTCTCAGACTACCATTTATCACAACAGGTTCAACAACAATTTTGACGGCGGAGTGCAGCCCTCAGTTTAAACAAGTAAAATCTGGCTGGCAGCCTGTCTTACTAGAGAACTCTTGATAACTCTCTTCCATATGGCCCATCAGTGTCTTTGCATTTTAACAGCCTGATTTTGTACATTTTAAGCACCAGTAAATATGAAGCAAAACCCACATCTGAACTTGCTTGCATATAATATGCTTTGAACAGTATAAATGGCAGGGTGGTTTTTTTTGTTTTTGTTTTTGTTTTTTTGTATTCTTCCTGTGATACCCAGGATGACTTGATAGCGTCTGTGCCAATGTTCTGGAAAAAGAACTGAATGAGAAGGAAAAAAGGATAAATCAACCAGTTATTTATTCAGCGTTATCAAAATACAATTTTGGACACAAATTAGCTGCATTTGTTTTTTCACAGAATTAACTCTGGTTCCACTTTTCTAATCAATTGTTCTGGCATCTGGTAGGCAGGAGCTGTGCCTGCGTAAAAAACCACGGAATTGTTCTAGGACCATTCGGACCATAACTTTTGATTGGGCCAATCAGCTGCCATCTGTTTAAATGGTGGCACGCTCAGAGATGTTTCTGGAGGTCTGTTGAATAAAAAGCTGCACATACGCACTGCGGCTGATCCATCTGACTGAATGTTTTCCTTGGATGGTTCTTGCACAGTGTGTGAAGATGCTGCTCTTCTAAAGTTGTAACCACATGAAAAGAATCAGAGCTGCTGTGTGTTTGTTTCTCCTGGGTTTCCACTAACTAGGTTGGCTTCTGTGAGATGGCTCTCTTTATTTTCCTCCTAAATTGTCTGATTGTTTCTTTCCAGTCTCCTTTGTGGGCTCTTCGTATTCCCAGTGTTCATCATCTATGGTCTTGCTTTTATCTCTCTCTCTCTCTTCTCCTAAAATGACCCTATTCAAACTCCTTGCTTTGACTTCCCACATGGATCTTTCTAGCGAATTCAGTCACTTCATAATCCAGCTTCTGACAAGACATTTTCACTTAAAGTGCCAGATAATATTTTCTTCCACTACCCTGCTATCTGCTCCTTCTCTTAAATATATTTTTTAAAAACATTTAAAATTTTAATCATATTCTCTACGCTCAAATTTTCCTCTTTTATTTTTTTATTTGCTTGCAGAATGGCATGTGATCTATAATTTGCTCAAGCCAGAGAGCCAGAGAGCTTGAATATATCTTTGATACTTTCCTCTTATTCCCCTGCATAGAGTTGACAGCAATTCCTGTAGATTTCATCCCCCGATATTTGTTGTATCTTCCTGATATTCTCCATTCTGACCCCTGTTGCATGAGCTCATTTCTTTCCAAGGCTGTAGCAGAAATCTTGGTATCATTTTATTTTCTATGCTAGGCTCTTTTGCCCCTTTCTCTGTTTTTCAAGAGCAGGCAATTTTTGTTGAAGTGATATTTAAATAAAAACTCTTTTAAACTGAGGGATGGTTTGGGAATTATTAGGGATTTACAGAAGATCATCTAAAAATAGTTGGCAGAACTTTGGAAAACAGTATGGAGTTTCCTCAAAAAGTTAAAAATAGAGCTACCCGATGACCTAACAATTGCACTACTGGGTATTTCCCCCAAAAATACAGATGAAATGAAAGGAAGGGCCATATGCTCCCCAATGTTCATAGCAGCAATTTCCACAATAGCCAAATTGTGGAAGGAGCCGAGATGCCCTTCAACAGACGAATGGATAAAGAAGATGTGGTTCATATATACAATGGGATATTACTCAGCCATCAGAAAGGATGAATAGCCACTATTTGCATCAACATGGATGGAACTGGAGGGGATTATGCTAAGTGAAATAAGTCAAGCAGAGGAAGACAATTATATGGTTTCACTCATATGTGGAACATAAGGAATAGCACGGAGGACATTAGGGGAAGGAAAGGAAAACTGAAGGGGGGAGTAAAAGAGAGGGGGAGACAAACCATGAGAGACTATGGACTCTGGGAAACAATTTGAGCGTCTCAGAGGGGAGACGGGGAGGGGGATGGGTTCGCCCAGTGATGGGTATTTACGAGGGCACAAGTTGTAATGAGCACCGGGTGTTATATGCAAATAACGAATTATGGAGCACTACCTCAAAAACTAAAGATGTACTGTATGGTGACTAACATAACATAATAAAAAAATAGTTGGCAGAGGAAAAATATGGTAAAGAGGATAATATTGGTTCAAGTTTTCTTTCTTTTTTTTTATATTAACGAAACATTGATATATGCATAAATTTCCTCTGCAGTGATCTCTCCTTTCAGGCATACATATTAGTAGTCAGTAGAGATGCCACATGAACACGCTACCATTGAGGCGGATGTTGTTTTCTGTCATTGGAAAAATTATTCACAGCCTGGGCGTCCCTATAGCCTCCCCACTGGCTACTTCTGTCCAGAGTTCAGGTACCTCCCCTCACCTTGCTGCTGATAGCACAGCCAGCAGCGGTGCAAGCTTTCAGCTGGTATGAGTATTCCTGAAATGGCCAAATGCCCTCCGTATCAGAGAAGCTCAGTGATGTCCCCCGAAAGCATTCAATCCCATTTCGGAGAAGAATGTAGTAAATAATTGGACCTAAAAGAGACAGAGAAATACCCTGATTTGAGTGTCAGATCCTTTTAACTATTTGCAAACAACTTACATGTCTTGGAGTTCTGAGGAAATGGGATAATATAGCATTACTTACTTTTAATTTGCTATTGGATTGCTATGTTCGAGCAGTTCTGAATGATATGCACTCTTATTGAAGAGAGGGATTCTGGACATAGATAATTAAGGAGTCATTTATGTTTATTTCCCCTCGCTAGCAAACAAAATTACTTCCAATATTAAAACTATTTTGCCTTTCGTTAGCAGTCTTTGCTTGTTTGAAAGCAGCTCAGATATATGCTAGGATTCCAGAAAAAAATTCTGGGGCTAAAAATCTGTTAGGCCTATTTTAAAAAATGAATGATTAGTAGGTACACACCTAAGGTTCCTTTTACCAGCAAATAGTTTTTAATGGTTAGAAGCATGCCAATTACATGTAGATTACACTCATTTAAATTTCCTTATGGATTTACAGGATTTTGTTATTTCAATTTTGGGAGAGTAGCTTAATACCATTTGATTGTATAGGTTTCTTCCAATTTAAGACTATCACATCTTCACGATTATCCATTTTGGCCCACCTAGGGGCACTCACTCCTTCAGGCACATCTTCTTTTGTCTTGGCTCTGATAGCTTTGCTGAATCCTCGTCCATAGCTATTCCATGCAGAAATCCTATACTCATACGTCATATAAGGCTCCAGGTTCACATCTGGAAAGGGAGAAATTGAACAGCGAGATTTTTTAAAACATTTTTATTTTCTTTTACCATCATATTGAAAATGAATATCAAAACTTTTAAACACTTAAAAATAAATGCTTAGTGCTCTAATCCTGTTGTGTGTGAATAGAACTCCCATCTCTTAACATTCTAAATCATAAAAAAATAACATTTTACGTGCTTATTGGATGCAGAGATATGGAATTCCACAGAATAGAATTCACCTTTTCTGAACAAATATGGGTAACATGAAAGGAATGACTGAAAACCTAAAGTACTAGACTAATGTACATTGGATGTTAATGCTTCCTAAGTGTGTGTATCCTATACTCCCGTATAGGGCAGGTTCACCAACCTGCTTTTATAGTTTTATATTATAAATTTTACCAATTATTACATTATTCATATTACATTAAATTAATTATAAAAATTATAATGTAGTTATTATGAGATACAAGACTGGAAACTTGGCTTATCATGATTAGTGGATATAATTGACCGCACAATCCACTACATACATCCTTCCCTCTTTCACCAAACCAGAACTGAAACCCAAATCCAAAATAACCAATCTAAATAAAAGAATAAAACCAAACTGTTGAATGTTTTGTACTGGCAATGATTAAGATAATCATCCACGTGATTCAATGGCATCCCAAAAGTCTTTGTCCAGTTTTAAGCTTTGGTAACTTCAGAAGCACAAATGCTACAAATTTACAAAAAAAAAAAAAAAAAACTGGAAAATTTAATTGGCTAAATCTGTTTAATTTTGTGAATTTTGACTATGTTTGTATGTATGCATTTTTGTGTGGTGGTTTCTGGATGACTTTTCTCAGAGGGGAGATCAGAAGAAGAGGTCCTCCTCCTTGGTTTCCTGGCCACCTGCTCTATCTTCATGTGGGGTTGAGTCTCTGTCCATCCATGTGGGTTTTTTGACCATATTTTCCTTACATATATCTCCTTACCGTAAACCATGACCTGCTTACTTTATAGAATTAGTATGAAAATAAAATGCATGAAGTTATGTGGCAGAACATCATAAAATGTAAACTGCTATAAAATAGAAGGGCTTATCTTCCGTCTTCATTTTTCTCTGGTAAGGGGGCATCTGCCACTTGTTACCTGTGATGACCCCTAGTGGGTGCCCAGATCTCCCTTCTGTCCTGGTCAGAGGCCTCCTGGCTAGGGTCTAATATTCCCAGTTTTCTCGGCAGCTTGGGGTTGTCATGTGACTCAGATCTGAATAATGGAAGAAGCATGGCAGTGATATGGGCATCCTATGCCTCACTTCCTAAGAGGAAATCACTTGCCTTCCATTGACCTTCTCATCCCCTTTTGGTGGGCTGGAAGCAGGATGTTTTGGTGACCCAGGCTGCACCATGGGAAGGAGGGCAGCACCGGAAACATGATGATCTATCAACTGGAAGGAATCTGGATCCCTGAATGACCGTGTAAGGGCTGAGCTGCCCAGACCATCCACCTACCCACAGACGGTCCCTATATTTTTCAATCAGTTGGCTGTAACAGATTGAACTGCTCATTGCTAATAACTGTTATTTCCTACTCTTCAGACCTACAGCACCAATTCTAATTTCAGTTGCAGTAGCTTGCCATGCTGTGTTCCTTGTTCTTTCCTCTGTGGCATTTCGTTCTTTCTACTCTCTCATCTCTTATCCTCCTTTGTTTGTTTTCCTGTGAGGTCCAGTCTTTCAAAGATGCTCCTAGCCCATGAAAGAATTCTTTTTGCTTTACACATAAGGAAACATTGTTGAAATTTTGCCTTCCCTCAACAATCTCTCTCATTTCTGAGTTCTTTTTTTCTTTGCCAGAATCTCCAACTCTTTTTTAAAAAAAGAAAAAAAAAACACCCTTTTTTATCTCAAAATCATTCTGTATGTTATATGGGGCTAGTCTTCAAATAACAGAGGATTTTGCTTTTTGGGAGGTATGCTTATTCAATTTTTACTTTTTAATGGCTTAAAAGTTCCATGAATACTTGTCTACAATCATTTCTTCAGCTGATAGAGTAATTCTTAAAAAATGCATGTACAGAATTGTGTCATTCTATTGCCTAAAAAGCTTTAATATCCACTCATTGCTGCATAAAGACAACCTGCTTAGTGTGGCATAAAAGGCCTTCATCAGCTGACCCCTGGTCTTTGGCCTCATCTCCATGATTTCTCCTCTCCTACACGGTGCTACATTCATATCAAGGGGCTTGTTTTTCACATCTTACTAGGCTTTCTCTCACTTCCTATGCTTTGTACATGTTGACCTCTCTGCCTGGCTTCCCTTCCTTTAACTTGATATGTTTCTACTTGTTCTTCATTTCCCAGCTCAGGCATGATATCCTTCATAAAGTCTTTCCTAACCTCTTCAGTCTGGGTTAGATGTCCTTGCAATGCCCTTGAAAAGCATCCTATGCTTACTTCTATCACAATTCTTACATGGACATATTTCTCACATTACAGTGTACTTATATTTGTTCCATGTCTGTTTGTATGGGCTTCAAATCCCTGATGGGAATTCTTATTTATTTGTTTTCATAGCTGGTAGGCCCAGTGTAGTGACTGGTTATTAGTAAAAATTTAAGAAATTTTTTTTGATAAATGAAATGATTGTATGCATGAATGAATTTGGGTGAACCCTGGTGTTGTTTAGCTTTTAATTGTACATTTCTAAGAAAGGTGGACTTCTTAGTTCAAATTGGTCTCAATGGAACTTGTTTTAGCATGACATAGGTGCTTCGTTTTCTTCTTGGAAGAGAAACTTTTGTCATTTTTCATATTCAATTTAGTGTTCTTTGGTAGGCAAAGCAATCTGAAATATGGGTGGTTAAATAAGTTAAATAAACATCTATTCTCTTCCGGAGAGGGCTATTGTAAATATGTCTTAAAGGACCTTCAAAACCTTGACCTTGATTTCAAAAGGCAGATAAAAGTAGGGAATTCTCTTGGATCATGTGCATCTGGACCAAACTCACTAATTTGGAAATGAGGGTCCTTAAATCTATAACTGGGGGTGGAAGGAAATTGGAGGGCTTGACGAATTGTCCTCTATCCTGAGGACTTTCATTCCAATAGAAGTTTTTTTGTTTGTTTGTTTTATTTTGTTTGCTTACAGTGTTAATCCAAAAATGGGGTAAAGTGAAGCAAGGGCATCTTGTTCATACAGCTATTTCAATCTCGTAGGAGAGATGGAACAAGGGTCCAGATGCACATGACACACCATAGAAATGAACGTCATGCTGATGTGGGAGAGGAGAAAGGGACTGGGCTTGAGAAGGCTGCACTGAGGACAAGAATGGTCATCTGCACCCTGGGAATGATGAAGAAGGACATTTCAGGTGGGAGAAATAGCTTGAGGGAAGTTTGGAGCACTCTGAAAGGAGCTCCTACACCATGCAGGGTATCCTAAATCAGCTGGTTTTGAAGGCAACATGATTTAAATCTGACATCTTCCCTTAGCAAGTTACTTTTATAGATCTGACCCTCAGTTTCTTCATCTATTAAACTATCATACTTCCATGATTGCTTTGTGAGTAAATTGAGGTAAGGTTTGGAAACCTCTAGCACATCACTGGAACCTTATCTTTATTCCTGCTTTCCCTCCTTAATATACCCCCCTCATTCCAGCATCTTGCCTTATTTTTTTGCAATCTTAAGGTTTGCCATTATCACCCACCATCGGTTAAGTAAGGTAGAATGATGAGTCATGATGGAACAGAGCAGTTTTTTGTTTATTTAACCTTAGCTTGCTTGAGTTATGTCACTTAAATGTATTCTATTTGACTCTAGATGGTGAATGATATATATGTACACACACACACTCACACACACTTAAGTTTTCAAAAGGCAGAAACAAACTCTGTAGGGACATAAGTAAATGGACAAATAATAAAAATTTAATAGAGGGCAGACTATTTTGGAGATGATCTTAAACTTTACAGTGTTTTTCACTCAGCTTAGCCAAGCCTAAGAACCACTATTTTGGAGGAATTCAGTAGGGCCAAGATGGGGCCTGAAAATTAATATTTTCAATAACTGTGAAGGTTATTGTTCTCAAGATGATGGCCATTTAGTGGCAACACGAGGCTTTGGGAGAGTGCAGTCTCTAGATACAGACCCAAGATCAGGAAAGGGATACTTTAAGCTCCTCCTCAGAATAATGCTGCTAGGTCTTACTGGTGATCAGACAGGTTTCTTCCTCTTTTCTGTCTACAAGTACAGCAACATTCATTCTTTGCATTTATTAAAAGCCTGCATTCACACTTTTAAGAAAGAAAATGGGGCTCACTGATGATTAACTGGATATGCCATAAAAGAACACATAAATTATTTCCCTGTTCTGGATTTTCTACATGTTTACTTTAAAATAGTATATATCTTTGTCTAAATTTAGACTTTACATTTTTTTAAGCTACTAACTTTGAACAGATTCAAAGTGTGCCTTTAATTACCTTGTAACTAGCTAGCCCATAGTATGATGAAATTAATTGATATTAGGTTAAGGAGGGGGATGACATCAGAATGAAACCTGCATTTTCTGCAGCTTTTCACTATCCCTACTAAGCTATGGACAGGTGGCTTAGTTTCTGTTACCTGTGAAGGAGAATGTGTTTATACTTCCCGTGTGAACAGTCTCTTCAGCAGATGAGCATATTTCTTCTATTGATTCCTTGCCTGTGGAATTGTGAGGTCCTCTGATCACAGTACAAATGTGGCTGGTAAAATTGAAGTCACACCTGCCGCAGTATGCTGTGGCTTCCAGAGATGCTGGGCAGAGCATCCCGCACTCTCTGGTTTCCTGAGTGGTAGAGGTAGGAAGAAGGAGATTTAAAAATTCATTTGGACAGGGGCACCTGGGTGTCTCACTTGGTTGAGCATCAGACTCTTGGTTTCAGCTCAGATCATGATCTCATGGGTCCTGATCTCATGGGTTGTGGGATCCAGCCCTGTGTGGGGCTCTATGCTCAGCAGGGAGTCTGCTTGAGATTCTCTCCCTCTGCCCCTTCCCCCAATGCTTGCATGCTCTCTTTCTCTCTCTAAAATAAATAAATAAATCTTTTTAAAAATTACATTTAGATGTATGTAGGGCAGGTTTTTACAAGATGCAAATGAAATTTTCTTCCACTTAGATCATGAATAAATGTCTCAAGATTTATGAAAAGAAATGAAGGTGGTGTGTATACTAGAAAGAGCAGTTTTGGTGTGGATGACACAGATTTGGATTCAGAGTCCAGTTTTGCCACTTCCTACTTCTGTGAACTTGAGCAAGTCACTTACACTCTCAAAGCCTCAGCTTCTTCCATTAGAAAACAGAAATCACATTTACCACACAGGTTTGTTACGTGAATCAAATGAGATAACACCTGTAAATGCCTTACACTTAGATACGTTATAAATAAGAGCAGGAGTCATTATTATATTATTGTTACTTTGACACTTTCCTAATGGAGCTTTAGAGAATAATGTGATATTTGAAAATCTGCACTTTTGTGCTGTGGGACAAGTTGGACTGCTAAAACTTTGTCCAAGTTTTAGAAAATCTAAATATTTCATGAACTCTCATTATAGTTATTATTATTTACATTTGTAAACCTGTCCTCTGATGAATCTCTGGACTTCTTATTGTTAGTGGTAAGTACTAGTGTGTTCTAATCTCAGAAAATGAAATACTTCATCATCCCAGATTACAGGAGATATAAATAAGGCAACATTTTTGTAATGCAAAACTTTCCTTCATCTTTCCTTCACATAGGTGGCTTTATTTATTCATTTATATATTTATTTATTTTAGAGAGAGAGCATGAGCGAGGGAAAGAGTGGGGGGGGGCGGGAGAAGAGGGAAGGGGAAAGAATCTCAGGCAGACTCTGTGCTGAGCGGGGAGGTGGGCCCGGGGCTCAATCTCATGACCCTGAAATCATGACCTGAACCAAAATCAAGAGTTGGACATTCAACCAACTGAGACACCCAGGTGCCCTAGACGGCATAATGTATTTAAAATAATTTTTTGCTATTTAAAATTGATCTAAATTCAGTCTCTCTTACCTCATATATGTTAAATTATTCTCCCAAAGGTTGTCAAAATAAAGCTGCTTCAGAAAACTGTGGTAGGATTTCCATTTGATTATAGTGAATTGAACACTTGCATTTAGCTCCATTTCCTCTTAAAGCCCAACCAAATGACAGTAAAGGAATATAGAAAGTCCAAGGAAACAGGAAGAGAGCTAATACCCACAGGACAGCTCAAACATTTTTGGAAGCTGGGAAGTAGATGAATGTGGCAGAGACAATACCAAAAGCCCAGTAATGTCCATTTCGTTTTTTCTCCCTAGAAATACTAAATTTGCAAGTTCGGCTCAGTAGGAAAAGCCACATGACTAGAAATGTCCATGTACTCACTCTACAGAAAGGATGTATTCTGCATCCGGGTGAGACCCATACGTGTATACTCATCCACTCTCTCCCCTTTTCCATCGCAATCTGAGGGTCGTGTGTGAAGCCCCACAAGATGGAAGGGGATTGGGCTTCTGAGACATTTCTTGGAGGAGAGGTGCCTAACTCATACTGGGCTGCAGTGTGAAAATTTTTTTTAACTTTTATTCTGTTGACCCATTCCATACGTGAGTGCACTTGTTTTTATTTCGGCATAGTCTAGCATGTCCTAGGTAAAACGTAAATTAGAACCTTGAAGTTAGATATTGTCTTGACAACAACAATAAAGCCCTAAATCCCATGGCATTGGCTTAATTGTTAGGTGGGCAGTGGCAAAGAAATACATACTGGGGTTTGGAAAGTTGGGGAGCTCTGTCATGCTGTGGCTAAATATTTGATAAAATCATGACCTGGGATAACTGTCAAAGTAAGACAGTGCTACCGAGCTCACAGCCTAGGGGAGGAGGTTATAATCCAGAACATTAGCAGTAGGTTTGTGTTGTTCCTAGCTGCGTTTTGATAAAGTGTTACAAAATGAGATAAACTTAGAAAAGATTGGGTGAAATTAAAAGGAACAGGGAGAGTCCACTGGAAGATACAGGCCAGGAGCCAGAGTGGGAAAACCAAATACAAGTCTGCATATTGCACAGTGAGAAACCCAGTCCCCTTTTCTACCAATTCCCCGTATGCTGTCAGCCAGGCATATATTTTACCTTGATCTAGGATGGATTATTAAGGATAGTTAATTAAGCATACCTGCTAAGGATTCTTGGTAATGTGACTCCCTGACCAAAAACCATCCTGCCACATGATTAGGTTACTGTGAGCTCCCCACTAATGGATGCCTATGCACAGTGAGCTTTCATTCAGCCTCCAATGGAAAGAATAGATTTAAAAACATGGAAAAAAGAACTGAGAGGGAGCAGAAACAAAGCAAGGCAAAGAAGAAAACTAAAATAATACCAAACAATTGAGACAATTCAAAGAATAAAGCAAACAAACAATAAACAACAACAACAATGGAATTAGTATTTCCAGAATGATAAAAAAGATATCCCATGAATGGAACAAGAGTGGGATGCCATGAATAAATAACAGCCTGCAAAAAAGAAAGAACCATGAAAAACTAAAAAAAAAAAAAAACCCAAAAAATCGAAAATAAAAAATATGATAGCTAAAAAATCAATCAATCAATAGAAAGGTTGGAAGATGAAGCTAAGGCAAAATCTGATCATGTTGAAAAAGATAAAGAGTTAACTAATCAATAGTCAAGAAATAAAAAGAAAAGATTGAAAGATTGGTTTAGGAAGTCCAACACCAAACTAATCAGTAAAAACAGAGATTAAAAAGAGAGCAAATTATCAAAGAAATAATAAAATAACATTCCCCAGAACTGAAAGTTATGAGACTTCACACTGAAAAAGTCCACAAAAAAGTACATCATCATGAATAATAATAATAAGAACATCCACAAAGAGGCACATTGTCATGAAATTTTATTTTTAAAAAGTTTTAAATGAAATTTTAGAAAAACAATAAAGAGAATGTCTTAAAAACTTTCATAGGAAAAACAACATGGGTACCTAGGAAGAAACAGGAATCAAAATAGCAAAGAAAGTTTAAAAATGCAGACATGATGTCAAAATCCTCAGTGGAAATAATTTTTAACCTTGCACTGTATACCTAGCCAAGCTATCAATCCAGTGGGAGGCTCAAAAAACGATCATTTCTAATGTCAAGCTCTCAAAAAATTTACCTTTTATGCACCTATACCCAAAATGATATTTCTCCAAAAGAAGGCATTTAGGCAAGAAAAGGGGACCCTTGGATTGAGAACACAGGGACACCAACACAGGAGAGAAGTAAAAGGAATTCCCAAACCCACAGTTAGAGAAGACTTGCAGGGAAGAAATCCCACAGTGGTTCAGTCCTGACTGGATAGAAGTCTCCAGGAAAGAAGTCTTCAGGAAACACAATGCAATCTACAGATTGAACTTTACCTGTAACACACTGCTTGATTTGGCATTCAGAAATATTGTCCTAATCATAATAATTTAAATAAGAATATTCAATATGACTGTTAATTGGCCTTCATAAAAGTTAAATCAATTTAAAAGATCATGTATATATCCTGAATATTGTTGTCGAATAATGGAAGCTCTATCTTCCTGGAACCAAAATGGGATGCCTGGGATGCCTGGGAAACAAATGTGAGTGATCAGTAATGAAACAAATATTTGTGAGCAGCAGTGTCATTTTTGAAACTAACAGGCTTTCTATCTTCATTTTTCAAATATGAGTGCCCCTTTTAGAGTTTTCTACATAGATGCTTAACTTGTCATTTTAAAGACATGTCCTCATGAGGTGCCTGGGAGGCTCAGTCGGTTAAACATCTGCCTTTGACTCAGGTCATGATCTCGGGGTCCTGGGATTGAGCCCCACGTCAGGCTCCACGTTTAGTGGGAGTCTGCTTCTCCCCCTCATTCTCTCCCTACCCCACTACTTGCACTCTCTGTTCTCTCTCAAATAAGTAAATAAAATCTTAAAAAAAAAAAAAAAGAAAGAAACATGTCCTTGCACCATCACCAGCTTTTTAAGACTGTGAATTTCAGAAAAATTTCTCAGTCCAAACTTCTGAAAAAAAATGGCCTGGAATAAATGTAAACTTTGGGAGCATAGTGTTGGAGAGATTTCTTTCATAGAATTGGCTATTTTAAAGTTGTGTACAGGTCAGACCAATTTCTAAAAAATTTTGTAGATGAAGATTATTTTTGATGGGTATTTTGTATGTTTACTCACTTCATTAGTACTTATTCTCTTTAATAACTTTATGAATTGTCTTAATATTAATTGTTGCAAAGTGCTTGCTGGGACCCTAACAACCTCAAAAGTTACTTTACATCCCAAAGTATATGGTGTCCACACAATGACTGTATAGTTGCGTCAGTCGGCAAGAGCCCTTCCATTGTCAATGACCCAAACATCCAACTGCAGCCATCTCCTAATGGCAGATTGCTACAGAACAGAGTAGGGTGTCTGGTTTTTCAATGTCCACAATCCGTTCCTTAAAATGGTAGGTTTCTGGAGTCCTGGGTCAAGTTTAATGCTAACAAAACATGACATGTCTGTCCGTGAAGCATCTCAACATCCAAACAAATGGTACACTCAGAGGCCTGTTCACTTTCATGGCTGGCAGGCATTTGCTGATCTTCTGCTGTCTCAAGGAATAGGATATAAGCATGAGTGAATTTGCTGGACCTAAAGTCGCTATCAAAGGAAAGTGTTGGATTATGGTTAGGGGCCCAGAGGGAAGAAGGCAGGATTGATCTCCTTTTCCATCCCCAGCACCCATGGACATAAAATGGCATGACACAGAGGTCCCAGCTGGCTCTTTCAGCACAGAGACTTTCAGTCCTGCACTGATCTGAAGTGCTGGGTAAAGCTTCCTGAGAACAGCTAATCATTATTAATTCCTTTAGAATTCATTGCAATAACATCAATCACAGCGAACTCATTTGGTATTAATATGGATGTAATGTGAAAATGAATAATGCACACAGGAGTTTTTATATTCCTATTTTAGAAAAATAGTTATGAACAATGTATTTCTCTTTCCATTGTCAAATCAGCACCTCTGAGAGGTTTTCTATCAATTACCTTCATCATCATTCCAGTTGAAATCTTGTCAGAGCAAACATATTTCAAAGGATTATATCCAACTCCATTACAGCATTTCTGGCTCTTTGGAATAAGTTCAGTCTCGCAGCATTTTATTGGCACTGGGTCATTCTTTTTAACATGTGCTTTAGACTCTCCACTGGAAGCTGAACAGCATATGGTATCTGACATATTCACATAATCCTGCCCACAACAGAACATCCCTGCAACAATAAAATGTTATATATGAATATGAAATAAAAAAAAAAAAAGGGAAGAAAACGGAGACTGCTATAAAGTCTGGTATAAAAATGTCAGACTCAGGCAGTTGCTGAAATGGTATAATACCTAAGGTAGCGTTTCCCTACCAAGGTGATTTAAACGTGCAGTGAGGGGTCCTTCTTACCAAGAGCACTAGACACTAATTAGGTAAAGAACACACAAGAGGAAGTGTTTCAAAATCATTCAGCGGGGCCAGACTTCTCCCAAGCTCCATTAAAAAAAAGCCCTGATTTCCGTCACGAGAATTACCTGCCCATTTTGTGATGATAACATCGTGTTGCAGAAAAAGGGATGAAGTACAGGGGATGAGAGGAAAGCTCTAGAAATTCGCAAGGGACAAAAGGTCACTGAGGCACTCTGGGATGAAAGCCTAGACAGAGTGGAGAGGTAGGACCATCCTGGCACTGGAGATGCTGTGGTAGGGGTCTTGTAAGCTTTTGCCCGGCTTTAGGGTGCACATTTTGCTTCTTGTGAATCCAGCAGCAATGGTAACCATTCTTTCCTCAGGAGATAGATTTGTTCAAACCAGCTGAGCTTGCTCACTGATCAGGTGGACAATTTGGCCACTATATTTTGAGCAGCACTGTGTTCTAGACCCATCCATGGACATGGATAAGAGGTTGGAGGCAGAAAGACCCTGTAAGGGGGAGCATTGATCACCACTTGTTGAGGAAAGACACGTATGCCTTTCACACCAAAGAACCTCCTTTCTTGCACCAAATTCAGTTTAACTGCCTGTGTTCACATCATTTAGATCTTGCCATAGAAGAGATACAGCAGAAATTTAGACATAAAAGCCTGAATAAATAAACAATACTCTAGAGTCAGATTAAGCCAGAAATTAAGGTACCTACACCCCATGTCACAATGCTATTATATCAGAATTTATATCCAGTGATAAAGCAGCACAGTGTGATGAATGATTTATTTTAATTAGAATTTTGTTTATTTATTATTAGTCCTGAGTGATAACATAAAGAACCTCAACTTCAAAGTGCCCTGGGGTCCTGAATTGTTTGTTCTGGTCCTGTACAAACACCCACATTATGAAAGACACTCCTAATAATAGACCAGTGAGCTTTAAGTGCTTTTTATTAAAAAAAAAATTATTGAAAGTAGACACTGGCTTGGTACATACCTTAAGAAAGATGTTTAGTCACACAAGACTTCAAAAACTCTTTCACTGATCTTTCCAATTTAAAAAATATCTCCCAATATTTTAAGATGATGTACATTGATCATAATGGACTTTTTGCATGCTGTCTAAATGTGGTAACTGTTCAAAGTAATTGGTTTAAAAGTGAACTGTTTTCTTTGGTGCTTTATTAATAATTTTCGTTGTTTTAACATTTTCAGGAAAAAAATTTTTTCACATAAATACACACAGCAGAGCTATCATTGTAATCTGAGTTTTGATTATGATAAAATGGTAAAAATGATGTATTGTACACACACATGCACACACACAATAAAAAGAAAAATCTTCAAGTTTTGCATTGTTTGGACATTTTTTTTTCCGCTGCTTTTTGATCAGACATTTAAATACAACCTTGGGTTTTTTACTGTCATTTTTTTTCTCTAGCAGTTTTCTTAAAATAATTCATATTTCCATTTTAAAGAGCAATCTGAAAACTGAAAACTGGCCCTTTAGGGAGCAGAATATATTCTCCCCTTCTACTCCCAAGTTACTTGATGGTTTCACCATGTTTTAAGTATAAAATCAAAATGCAGACATTGACCTAATTCAAAACTCCTAATCAGTCATCTGATCGCTCTGAGGGACTTTTGACAGGTCAACTAAAATTTTGATAATGAACTGTTTTTACACTAGGAAAAAAAAAAGGCTGCTTTCTTTCACAAAGAGCTTCATCTTTGTTTCACTGAATTAAAATTTTCAGCCAAGATTCCACTCTCATAACAAGAAGTGACTCCCTTTCTAGTTTCTTTGGTAAACCATTACTTCTTTAATTATTATCAACCTTGTTCCAGTGTGATAAATTGCTAATTACTTAATACCCTAATCAGCGTTCATTCTTTGCACAGATAAACTGTGACAGTGCCATTAATTTAAATAGTAATTTCACTTAATGGCCAGAACGGCACACCAGATTTTTATGCAGCATTTTCTGAAGACTGCATCCATCACTGCAATATTCTGACATAAAGATGTCTGACGTGCACTAACTCACTTAGGGAGAGCAGATGTTGCAGAGCAGAGTTTGGTAGTAATTCCCATAGTGCATCACTTCAGCATGAATGAGCTGCAAATTCAGAGACAGACAATCTTCTGAAACTGCATTGCAATAACTTTTGACCCTGCCTAATTTATCACATTTGGCACTTGACTTTTGAACTTTGACATGTAGAATGCACAATTTTAAATATGCCAAAAGAAAAACAAAACAGGTTGTGTATTGTTGATGGCTCGATATATTCTTCCAGAGGCTGTTCCTTAAATCTGTACAAAGGTGAAGATTCTCCTTGGACAGATGTTACTAAAGTGGTACAGTACACATAGAGCTATTAGATATTTATTTCTGATATCAAACTGCAATATATTTTATCTTCCCAAACAGCATATATATATCCAACAGATAGCTTCCATTTCATTGGATACAATTGAGAAAACAGTGAAGGAAAGAATCTTTTACTCACAATGCTATGAATAGTTTCAATATGTTACTAACACTCATTTAATGGCCAGGGCTGACAAGGAAAGCATGTATAAACATATAGTTCTGATGAATTTCTAAATTGTTAATTCTGTAAAACAGGGGCTCCATTTTTCTAGAAAAAAAAGACCAAGACTTCTGAATCATGCTTTTGAGATAAATACAGTAAGGTAGTAAAGAACAAAGTCTAGAACATGACAAATTAATGTGCAACTCTGGGACTGATCATGGGGACCACATTTTAAGCCAAGGGACTATATTTTAGGCCTATAAGAATGAAAAAAAGTTTTGTGATTAGTCATTCTTAGGACAAACATAAAATTGGTGGCAGAATATGAAAGAAAAGAAATGCATGCTTGTCTCCACCAGTAGATGGCGTCATGGCTACCACCACAAAACTGACAAAGAAAGGGTAGAGCAAAAATGCTCCCCAAATCGTTGAGATGCGTTTTTTTCTACGTTACACCTTTCAAAAATTCATTATGTCACATGGAAATCTTCCTAGAAAATATTCTTTAGTACAGCTCTTTCACAATGGATTTCTGTGCTATATTTCCCTCTTTGCAAAGTTTCCAGATCCCATCTTCTATGACAAATAGGGGTAGTCATTTGTTCTGCTGAAGTCCTACTCCAGGACATGGAAACTCAGTATTCTATTACAAAGCAGTTTCAACCCAGAGTTTCCTATCCGAGGCTGCATGGACAACATTTATAATAGAGATCAGGCAATATGTTCCAAAGGTATGTCATGATCAGTTTCTCACAGCTAACAGAAAATCCTGGTCTCTTTGAGTGATAGGGAGACTTTAATGTTCATCTCTTAATACTAAAAGATATAATCAAGTCCAATCCAAGATTAATGGCATAAATGATAAAACCATACAAGCAAACACTAAGAATAAAAAGAGTAATAAAGAGGTTTAAAATACATCCAAAGAAAATGGTTAAGAATACATATCCACTGCAATGATGAGCATGACTTTCATCCCGAGATACCTGTATAACACTCCTACACAACTCATCTGCCCAGAGAGAGCAGTAAAAACATAAACGCTACCACAGCACTTCTGTTCCAACAGCATCTGTTAATTCACTCCATTTATAAAATACATATTGACAAAGACAACTGAACTGGGACCAGGGAGATTTGATTTGGTGTGAGAAAGTCAATTCAATGTGATTTTGTTAAAGGGCTCCTGCAGGCAAATAAAAGAGTTTAAGCAATAAAGTACATAAAGAGATATTTTACGAGCCAGCCCCGTCTTACGGAAGGCACACAATGCCAGGCAGTGAGAGAGGCCAGGCTTAGGAACAATATTATGAGATCCAAACCCTCGTGTAGCAGGTATGGTGTTGCTAGGTTGAGGAGAAAAAGGCCATATGGATATTCTGGAAGGTCACCGAGGTCACAGTCATTAGGGGTGACAGGAGGGAGTGCAAGCAGAGTGAAGAAAAAGACAGGTGGAATGTGTCTATTTACACTGAAACCTGCAGGAAGGTCAAGAGAATAAAAAGAGATTCTTTTCCTTTTTAAAAGTATCATTCCTTCCGTCCACCATGATTATCAGCCCTGGCAGAATTGCAAAATGTCGTGAGAAACTCTAGAGTGAACCTTGATTCACAGGAGCTGAGTAATGTTGCAATTTGCTTAAATATTTGACAAGCGTGGAAAATCACAGTGAAGTCATTAAGAAGTTATTCTGAAGTTGGGGCCCATGGAGGGACGTCAGGGGTGTATGAAATTGCAGGCAGATTTCTGTGTAGTATTTGCAGTGAGGCTTTGTAACTTTCAAAAGATTCTTAAGGGAGTGTATGGCCCCCGAAAGATTAGGAACCATTGTCCCAGGGGATAGTTACCTCTACTTCATTTCTTAAAACAAGTATGTTTTATTTTTTGGCAATAGTGTTCTGACTTATCTTTCCTTCTCCTTCACATTCATTTGCCACCAATCTAATTTATTGCCTTAAATCACAGTTCTTACCATCACATTGACTCTTCCTTGATTTGGTCCTGAGACCCTTCCTTGATTACTGAATAATGTTCAGATCGTTTTGCCTACTCAGACATATCTCCCTCTGTTTCCTTGCACACGGTGGATCCCTCCAATAAACCCAACTGTTCACTACTACTTGGACATGCTTCACAGATTGCCAATTTCACACTTTAGCTCAAGCTATGCCCTTTAGCTGAAATGTCCTTCTTCCATCTACACATCTCAAAATCTTACTCATTATTTGAGGTTCCAATCTAATGGTTTAGCTTTTTCCATCACTTTGACTGGAGTGATCTCTCAGTTCTTATGAATATACTTTGTTCATCCCTCTCTTATGGACTGTGTTTAACCTTACAGGTACTTTCCTCCTTGATTAGATTATAAGTTCTTAAGGATAAAAATGGAATCAGCCCTTTTTATAATCACAAAGCACCAAGAATACTGTATTGAGCATAGTCACTACATAATACATTTTTATCAAATGAAGGAATATGGCAATTGACTAAAAAAAGGAACAAATGAACAGATGCTAAAATGAGACATTTTTGCTGTTATGTTAAAACTCTGACTCATTATGGTATGGAGGGGGCAATGCTTTTGCATCTCCCAGACCTGGCATCCATTGTTCTGTCTTTAAGGGACATATTTTTAACAACTCATCTAGAAGAGGAGATACTCAACTGGTTAATCATAGCACAGGGTAACTAACTAAGTGCCATGATTTTCTAGTACACATGATAACCATGCATTAAAGCAGTGATGCGTGAAGTTTGGTCTCAGGACCCCTTTACACTTTTACAAATAATTGAGGACTCCAAATAGCTTTTGTTTATGTGGGTTATATCTGTTGATAAATACTGGGTTAGAGCCTAAAACAAAATTTTTTTGAAATATGTACTTATTAATTCATTTAAAATAATAATAAATATATAACATGTTAACATAAATATTTATGAAAAATAAATGCATTTTCCAAACTGAGAAAAGTGAGTGAGAAGAATGACACTGTTTTGCATTTTTGCAAGCCTCTCTAATGTCTGGCTTACTAGAAGGAATTAACTTCTCATACCTGCTTCTGCATTCAACTGTTGCAATATCACATGCCATGTAACCTCTGAAAAACTCCACTGTATACTCGTGAGGGAATGAGATTGAAAAAGGCATATAATAGGTTAGTATTAATATGAAAGCCATTTTGATCTTACAGACCACCAGCAAATGTCTTTCTGCAAAGAGTCAGACACTTAGAAGTCCCAGATTATTCTTTATAAGTCACTGTCTCAGGGCTCAGCACTCCTATGTAGTACCCTGTCTTCTAACTTTGGCATACATTAGGTGTGCAGTCAGAGGGCAGATTTGATAATGCTTCTTTTTTTTTTCCAGTCTTCCAGAAAATGTTTACAACTTGATAGTTTATTATACTGGCCCTGCTGAGCAGACCTGACAAACATTGATATGGCTTGGGTTGGAGAGTATCCAATGCTTGTCCAACTATCAGAATGATCAAAGAAGTTAAGAGCATGGACTTTGTCACCATTTAGATGGAATTAGAAACCCTTCTTAGCCACAGTGGCAAGATTCACAGGCAAATCTCCCAGCCTCCCTTGCATTTAGTTCTAGTCAGTGAAATGTTAATTAAAATATTTGCTATTCCTAGACCTGGCAAATAAAAAACGCACACACACGTTATTCCATGCTCTTTTCCCCTCTGGCTGCAGAAATGGGTACAACTCCCAAGTGACCGTAGAATCTGGCAGTTCAACAGGTAGCTCATAACTAGGAAAGAGAGCTGACCTACAGAAGGTTCATATCTCGGTGCTATTATATAAGAAAAAGTGAACCCCGATTGTATTTGAGCCTTTACAAATTGGGGGGTTCATTTATAATAAATAGCAATTAATGCTACCTGAAGTAATGCAGCCTTTTGCTAGCTATGTGAGCTGGGGGCAGTTTCTCACTTTTGTGAGAAGTGCTTCTGTTTCCTCATCTTGAAAATGGAGAGAAGACTAGTACTTACCTCATAGGGTTGTTGTGAGGTTTAAGTGTGTTATAAATGTGTTGATGTATATGAAGCACATAGAACTCTGCTTCGCGAGTAGTGAACATAGAATGTTGTTTACTTTTTGTCATAGTTGTATCTTGTGACCATTGTGTATATCTTTTAGTCAATAAGCAGTGTCTAGAAGACACTTGACCAGGCTGGATTCCTTGACTGGACTTCAGTTATCTTTAGGACACTAACTTCTTAAGCCTACAATTCATGGGGAAATTTTCTGAAAGGACTATGTGTCTATGCTGAACTCTTGTGTATCATATGATTTAATGCATCATTCATCTTCAAAGATCTTGTCAAGTTAGTTTTTGCTTTTGTTTCTTGGTTTTACCTGGCAAAGTCAACTTTCTTGCTACCTTATACTGAAGATCCAGGTGTCCTGTGCCATGTATTGGAGGTAATCCTTAAATTTTGGGGGTCAATTGAAGTGTCCTAATTGAAACCTAATTCTGTTGCATATAGGACAACTATCCATCATCACTATTTTCTGGACTGTTGATACAGATCAACAAAATTACATGGGACTATCAAACAGCTTGACAATATATATATTAAAATCTTCCTCTAAATATGTCCCACTGGGTTGGATTAAAAAAAGAATGCATAGATTGATATAGTGTGGATCCAGATGGGTGATTTATAACTTCATAGAATAGTAAATGCCTTGGAAACACACTTGATGATTGTCCAAAGATAAAATGAAAAACTAGAAATCAGGTATTTTTTGGCTCAAAGAAGGAGAAAAATCTTTCCCATACTGGGAGTACTGAAATTTAGTTGTGAATAATATAATTGAGCATTTTTACTTATTTAAGGGCTATTAAAATACTGAGAGTTTAGTATTCTTGTTAAGGCGCAAGAGTCAGGTACCCCAAGGATTGATACTTTTAAAATTGTTTTGACTGATTAGTTTTGTTCTTGAAGCGTTCTTAGCAATTTTCATCAGAACTTTACATAAAAGAGAATTTGTACAAAAATATGGTACTTAACAATAACACTACAATAATTTAAATTACAATTACTGATATTACGGGTAACACTGATGGTTTTTTTAAAAAAGAAGAAATTATAGAAAAACAATAGGGAATTCATAGTTCATCTGCATCAAGATGCAGATGATGTCCTGAAATCATGCTCAGAGAAGGGCTGGAGTTCTAACACTTGCTAGTTGCACAAGCAGATTTATCCTGAAGCTGATGAGCTGGAGTTTCAGGGCCCTTTGCCTACATGAGCCCCTTCCAAGGCAGGCATGGTTACATATTTTTATAAAATTAGCAAATGTATAATATTTAACTCTGTTAATTTGCTATGGCCTCTGTCTCTTGCCCCTTTAACTTGCCTTCTGTCTTATGTGTCCTTGTATTGATTAAAATAGAAGAGTGACCATATACATTTTTTAAATCTAACTAAGGGGAAGTTGATTTGGGAAAATATTTAGTTTGGGTTCAGTAGCTATGTTTATATGACTTCTGTCACTTTTATAAAAAAAGTCATTAAGGCTTGAATAGGCCATTTTAACTGCAGTTTGGAGAGATAAGGATATGAGAAATTACAGACTCCTAATTTGGATGCATGTAAAGGGAAGCTTTAAAGAAAGAGAAAGATCAGATAGAAAAATTAATGGAATATGAAACAAAAGCTGTAAAACTGAACAACAGAATCAACTGAAATATTTTGACATCTAGAAGAGAATTATAACAAAATAAATTTTAGATTATAACAAAGGTAGTAAACTATTAAAAGAAAATGATGGATCTAGGATTGAAGCATAAATTACTACAAATTATGAAGAGAGGTAACTCATAAATATATAGAAAAATTTATACTTTTGCTGATGTGTAGATGTGTAGTGACATCATGATAACAAACAACTCAAATTCAATCATATAATAAGGATATCCATGAAACTCTGGTTAATGATGTTGTCAATTCAACAAATATTTAAGACAAGTCACTGCAAATCACCTTAAGACAAGAAAACTTAAAATGCCCTTAAACCTTAGAAAGATCCTTGGTAGGTATTTCTCCAAAATTGACACTAATCCTAAACATTTACATAATATTACAATAATAAATTTTGAAGCTTAAAGCTACTTTTTAAAACTTGAAATAATTAAAAATGTTTTGATTAATCATGTGACAGGAAAGAATGAATTATCTTTCTAGAGATAAATGGTACAAAGCCATTGTCCCATGAAGATGTGATCAAGGATATAAGTTAAACATGTCAGGGGGAGAAAAGACGGATATCAGAAGTTATAGAATCCAAACATGCTATTTTTATGTTAGTGGGATTTGCTAAGTTTCCTTTTTTTTTGATTTGTAATTTTTATAATTTATTTTCCCCTTCTAAGTAAATACTATTTTTATATTCTGTCTTATCTTAATCATTTTATTTTCTTTCCTTAAAGAAGGTCCCCCAAATTGTGTAACTTTCAGGCACCCCAAAATTTGCATCTGACTACAATGTGATCTTGGACACTGTTTAATCTCTGTGTCTCAGTTTCCTCATTTTTTAAATGTAGACAATAATAGAACCTACCTAGTAAGACAATTATAAAGATTAACTGAAAAAAAAGACTAACTGAGGTAATAATGTATAAGACATTGGGCATAGTACTTGGTTGATAGTAAGTACTCTATCAATGATAATGACTGCTCTTAAAATTAGTATTAATTTAATAGCTATAAAAGAATAATGGAGCAAAAGAATTGACATAATGTCATCAATAATAATTTTGTGTACTGTTAGCATCTGCTAGGAAATTTGCTAGGAAATATTCTCTTGATCCAGAACCACTGCATTCATGTGTGTTTTGTTTTTGTTTACGGTGGATATGACACTTTTCAAGAGGAAAGAGTTTTGATCCATTTTAATGAAATGCATCACATGAACATAAAAAATGTGAAATTACATTTTTATTTGTGATATAATATGTACTTAAATTTTGCATTAGATATAATTAACATGAGCTTTAATTCCTTATTTGCTTTATATCTAGGGCAAGTTTTTCAACCTCCCTGTTTCTCATATTCTCCACCTACTGAAAAGTAGACAAGGGCTCCTTACCTGGAAGGCGACTGTACGCCATGCCCTCTTCTTCTCCACCACAGCATTCTAAATCTTTGCTCACAATCTGTCCACCACAGCACTGCTGTCCATGGCCATCATGAAGCCTCCCAGCACAGCAAATCTGGTTTCCTGAGGTGGAATAAGGCATTCTGCCACAGCAGGAGTCACCGATGCCAGTGGAAACCCGATTGTGCTGTTCATCTGGACAACATACTTCACCTGTCAATTTAGGACAATAACAATCATTGCATGAGTTAAAAAAATATGCTTTGACTCACAATGAAATTTTATCACAATCATCTTGCAGATGCCAACTGGTTGACAGAATTACTAGAAAGAATGCTGTCATTTTGGAGTTGCAAAATATCAATACAACATTAAACTTTTTGCATTAAAGATGTATAAACATATGTTTACTCACATACATATGTGGTAACTTAGAGGTAATACTATGTTGCCTATTTCCTCTCTCACCCCTAAGAAATGAGCACATTAGGTCTGGTAACATGATTAAGTAACATTACAAACAAGTTTGCCTACAAATACTTTTCTATCTATATAGTGTATTTTTTTTTTTTTTTGGAAAGTGGTGTGGATTCAGAAATTGACATAAAACTTGCATTGCCTAGATTATATTTTTTAACCAAATTATAGTCATTTAAGTAAACAAAATACTTTCAATGTGAAGGTCAATTAAAAGAGAGGTAAAAATAGTATATTCAAGTCAGCACATTAGTACTTTGCTGGGCTGTGGAAGACACTGAATTTCACTAATGTAGTTGCACCGACACTCCCCCTTTACATGATGCTCTGGGAAACTTGAAACAAGAATAAGATAGTCTTTTGCCTGGTGCTCTGGTATCAAAGAGTTTAAATTTTATAAATATCAATAAGCAGCATTTTAGGGGGGGTATGAAGATGGTCTGTAAGACAGGACAATTCTAAAGGACAAAAAAAATTAAATTTCATCTTTTAAGGATACCTTGGAAAGGACTACTAACAACTTTGTGTATCTAAAATTAAAACTGTACTTCTCCTCTCTAGCTCATGACCCAACTCTCAGTTGACCTCCTTTCTGAACCCTAGGATCCTGACTCTCTCCTCCCTCTTGCTTTACTCTTCTTTTTCCTGCATCTTCAACAGACCCTCTTCTCTTCACTTCCCTCTTTAAAATATATCTTTCTCCCAGGACAATATTCCTTCATTTTATCTTATAAGGTCTGTGAGTAAATTGACCAGCCTCTGGCAGGTCTTATAGTTCTAAACCATGGTCCAGGTAAGATTTATATAACCTAGTTAATGACTTGCCAAACCTTCGTAAGAAAAGGAAGGCTCAGGTTCACTAAAAAATTTAGGATTGCCTTAGGAATTTTTAGTCCTGGACTTCCTGATCTCTATCAATTAGTTTATCTATGTGTGAGGTCAAGATATGCCAAAACCTGGTTAGTAAAAGCACGATGAATTACCTACCAAAATGATATTAAAAATATGGGGCAATATTTATCTATAGATAGATATGTAAAGAATATAAAAAAATAAGACAAGAACTCTTAGCAGGTATCCTTGAAGTCTTTCTTGTCCATATTCATTGGTCAAAAATCCATCCTAGTAGATGAAATGTACAAATTACTAGAAACACACAACCTAAAAGACTGAATCATGAAAAAATAGAAATTTTGAATAGACCTATAACTATTAACAAGATTGAATCACTTATTAGAAACCTCCCAATGAAGAAAAACTCTGGACAAGATGCCTTCACTGGTGAGTTTTACCAAACATTTAAAGAACTGGTACTAATCCTTCTCAAACTCTTCTAAAAAACTGAGATACTTCCTAACAAAATTTATGAGGCCAGCTTTGCCCTGATACCAAAACCAGACAAGACACTTTAAGAAACAACAAAACAAAAACTACAGACCAATATCCCTTATGCAAATTGATGTAAAAATCCTCAACAAAACGCTAGCGAACTGAATTCAAGAGCACATTTATAAATGATTATACAACATAACCAAGTGGGATTTATTCCGGGAAACCATGCAAAGATGATTCAACATATGAAAGTGAGTGTGATATACCATATTAACAGAATGAACAAAGAAAAACACGTGATTACCTCAAATGATGTAGAAAAAACACTTGACAAAATTCAACACCATTCCATTATAAAAACATTCAATAAACTAGGAATAGAAGGAAATTACCACAACACAATAAAGGGCATGTATGAAAAACCCACAGCTAACATTATAATCAATAGTGAAAGCTTTTCCCCTAAGATCAGGAAGACAAGGCTGTCAGCTTTTGCCATTTCTATTCAACATAATATTGGAATTTATAACCAGAGCAATTAGATAAGAAAAAGAAATGAAGAACATCCCAACTGAAAAGGAAGAAGTAAAATTATCTCTGTTCACGGGAATGTAATCTTATATGTAGAAAACCCTAAAGATCCCACAAAAAAACCCTGTTAAAACTAATAAAAGAATTTAGCAAAGTTGCAGAATACAAAACCAACATGTAAAAATTAGTTGTGTTTCTATACCCTAAGCATGAACAGTCTGAAGAGAAAATTTTTTAAAAAAGCAATCCCATTTACAATAGTTTAAAAAATACTTAAGAATAAGCTTAACCAAGAAGGTGGAAGATTTGAACAGCTTTGATGAAAGAAATTAAAGAAGACACAAATAAATTGGACATCCCGTGTTCATGGATCAGAAGATGATATTGTAAAAATGTCAATACTACCCAAAGTGATCTACAATTCAATGCAATCTCTATCAAAATCCCAACAATATTTTTTGCATAAATAGAAAATCTATCCCCAAGTTGCAATGGAATCTCAAGGGACCCCCAAAACAATCTTGAAAAATTGTTGAACAAAGGTGGAGGTCTCACACTTCCTAATTTCAAACTTTACTTCAAAGATACATCAGTATTACAAAGATACAATTAATAATCAAAACAGTGTGGTCCTGGTACAAAGACAGACATACAGACCAATGGAATAGAATAGAGAGCCCAGAAATGAAACTTTACAAAAATGACCAAGTGATTTTCAACAAGGGTGTCGAGACCATTCAATGACAAAAGGACCATCTTTTTAACAAATGGTGCTGGGAAAAGTAAATATCCACATGCAAAAGAATGAAGTTGAACCCTTACCTTATACCATATATAAAAATTAATTCAACATGGACCAAAGACCTAAATGTAAAAGCTAAAACTATAAAATTCTTAGAAGAAACATAAGGAGGAATCTTCATGACATTGGATTTGGCAATAATATATTGGTTATAACATCAAAAGTACAAGACAACAAAAGAAAAATAGAGTATTGCACCTCATCAAAATTTAAAAGTGTTATGCATTAGAAGACACTGTTGACTATATAAAAAGGCAAACCATGGGAGAAAATATTTGTAAATTATATAACTGATAAGGGACTAATATCCAAAATTTCTAAAGGACTCCTACAACTCAACAATGAAAACATAAACAACCCATTAAAAAATGGCTAAAAGACTCATATAGATATTTCTCCAAAGAAGATATACAGATGGCCACTAATCATATGGAAAGATGTTGAATATTGCTAATTATTAAGAAGATGCATATCAAAATCACTATGAGATACCACTTCATAGTCAAAGAATGGCTATTATAAGTAAACCAACAGAAAAGAATATGTTAGGAAGGAATTAGAGAAACTGGGACTTTTGCACGTAATAAACTTGCACATCACTGTTGGGAATATAATATAGTGCAGCTCCTGTGAAAAACACTATGGCATTTCCTCAAAAAAATTCACATAGAATTTCCATATGATCCAGGAATTTCACTTCTGAATATAAAGCTAAAAAAAAAATGCAAAGCAGGACTCAAACAGGTATTTGTACACCTATGTTCATAGCAGTATTATTAACAATAGTCATAAGGTGGAAACAATCCAAATATTCATCAGTAGATGAATGGACAAACAAAATGTGGTATATACATACTATGGAATGTTATTCAGTCTAAAAGATGAAAGAAATTCTGACACATGTTAGAACATAGATGAACTTTGAAAATATATTAAGTGAAAGAAACCAGTCACAAAATGGTAAGTATTATATGATTCTACTTATATGAGGTACCTAGAGTAGTCAAATTCATAGAGACAGAAAATAGAATGGTGGTTGTCAGGGGCTAGGGGAAAGGGCCAATAGGGAGTTAATGTTTAATGGCTACAGAGTTTCAGTTTGGGAAGATAAAAGTGTTCTGGAAATGGTGGTGGTGATGATTGCACAACCATGTGAATGTATTCAATGCTTCTGAACTATGCACCTAAAAATGGTTAAAATTATAAATTTTGTTCTGTATACTTTACCACAATAAAAAAAAGTCCAGTTTCATAAACAGGGGCAACATAATCCCATGCCTAGTTTCAGAGACCACTTAGCTACCACTAGGAATACTCTGTTCTCAATGTAAGTCAAGATTTCATAAATTTCTCAGAAATCAGAAGATAGGATAGTAGACTATGTCTTCTCTCTAAATTATAAGAACTTGCTGAGTACTTGGAAGATACTTCGGCTCAGAAAAAAAGAAAAAAATAGATCAAATTAATAGATTTTCAGATTAAGCAATTAAATAAAGCCAAGAACAAGGACATATCTATGTCTAGTCTACACAAAGACAACTCATTATTGTAAGGAAAAGGGACATTGGAAGAACATTTGCTCTACTTTAGCTAGAAAGAATCAAAAAAGGAAAAGGACAAATGTTGACACAAGAACCTCTTTCTGTGAAAGTAGCTGCTCTGGTCAATCCATACCTGCATTTAACACACAAAAAAGAGAACTTTTCATGCAGTTGTAGAAATTGAAGTTTTCATAACTAATTGATATTGAGGCTACACTATCTACCATAAATTCTATGTTTCTATCATCCCTTCCTAGGAATAACCAAACTGTCTCAGAGGTAGAGATTTCAAATACCTTTCAGTCTCTCCCTTTGTCTTTGTCTTCACTTTAATCAACACACTTTTCTGCTAACTTAGTATTTTTTCCACTCTGGTGCATTTGATGGGAGGAGATCCACTTTGTAAATGTGGATGCTAGTACTAAATGTGGATCCAAAGCCTCTTTCTGGAACTCCCAGCAGAATCCCCATCCTGTAATTTGATGATGGCACAGACTGACTATCTCATGCCTGATGATTTCATGATCTAC